ACAAGAGAGGCGAGAGAGAGCAAGAGAAGCGAGAGAGGCGAGAGAGACAAGAGAGGCGAGAGAGACAAGAGAGGCGAGAGAGACAAGAGAGGCGAGAGAGACAAGAGAGGCGAGAGAGGCGAGAGAGAGCAAGAGAAGCGAGAGAGGCGAGAGAGACAAGAGAGGCGAGAGAGGCGAGAGAGACAAGAGAGGCGAGAGAGACAAGAGAGGCGAGAGAGACAAGAGAGGCGAGAGAGACAAGAGAGGCGAGAGAGGCGAGAGAGACAAGAGAGGCGAGAGAGACAAGAGAGGCGAGAGAGACAAGAGAGGCGAGAGAGACAAGAGAGGCGAGAGAGGCGAGAGAGACAAGAGAGGCGAGAGAGACAAGAGAGGCGAGAGAGACAAGAGAGGCGAGAGAGACAAGAGAGGCGAGAGAGGCGAGAGAGAGCAAGAGAGACAAGAGAGACAAGAGAGGCGAGAGAGAGCAAGAGAAGCGAGAGAGGCGAGAGAGACAAGAGAGGCGAGAGAGACAAGAGAGGCGAGAGAGGCGAGAGAGACAAGAGAGGCGAGAGAGACAAGAGAGGCGAGAGAGACAAGAGAGGCGAGAGAGACAAGAGAGGCGAGAGAGGCGAGAGAGACAAGAGAGGCGAGAGAGACAAGAGAGGCGAGAGAGACAAGAGAGGCGAGAGAGACAAGAGAGGCGAGAGAGGCGAGAGAGACAAGAGAGGCGAGAGAGACAAGAGAGGCGAGAGAGACAAGAGAGGCGAGAGAGACAAGAGAGGCGAGAGAGAGCAAGAGAAGCGAGAGAGGCGAGAGAGACAAGAGAGGCGAGAGAGACAAGAGAGGCGAGAGAGACAAGAGAGGCGAGAGAGAGCAAGAGAAGCGAGAGAGGCGAGAGAGACAAGAGAGGCGAGAGAGACAAGAGAGGCGAGAGAGACAAGAGAGGCGAGAGAGACAAGAGAGGCGAGAGAGACAAGAGAGGCGAGAGAGGCGAGAGAGAGCAAGAGAGACAAGAGAGACAAGAGAGGCGAGAGAGAGCAAGAGAAGCGAGAGAGGCGAGAGAGACAAGAGAGGCGAGAGAGACAAGAGAGGCGAGAGAGGCGAGAGAGACAAGAGAGGCGAGAGAGACAAGAGAGGCGAGAGAGACAAGAGAGGCGAGAGAGACAAGAGAGGCGAGAGAGGCGAGAGAGACAAGAGAGGCGAGAGAGACAAGAGAGGCGAGAGAGACAAGAGAGGCGAGAGAGACAAGAGAGGCGAGAGAGGCGAGAGAGAGCAAGAGAGACAAGAGAGACAAGAGAGGCGAGAGAGAGCAAGAGAAGCGAGAGAGGCGAGAGAGACAAGAGAGGCGAGAGAGACAAGAGAGGCGAGAGAGACAAGAGAGGCGAGAGAGACAAGAGAGGCGAGAGAGAGCAAGAGAGACAAGAGAGACAAGAGAGGCGAGAGAGAGCAAGAGAAGCGAGAGAAGCGAGAGACAAGAGAGGCGAGAGAGAGCAAGAAAGGCGAGAGAGGCGAGAGAGACAAGAGAGGCGAGAGAGGCGAGAGAGGCGAGAGAGACAAGAGAGGCGAGAGAGAGCAAGAGAGGCGAGAGAGGCGAGAGAGACAAGAGAGGCGAGAGAGGCGAGAGAGACAAGACAGGCGAGAGAGGCGAGAGAGACAAGAGAGGCGAGAGAGGCGAGAGAGACAAGAGAGGCGAGAGAGGCGAGAGAGACAAGAGAGGCGAGAGAGAGCAAGAGAGGCGAGAGAGGCGAGAGAGACAAGAGAGGCGAGAGAGACAAGAGAGGCGAGAGAGACAAGAGAGGCGAGAGAGAGCAAGAGAGGCGAGAGAGGCGAGAGAGACAAGGCAGGCGAGAGAGGCGAGAGAGACAAGAGAGGCGAGAGAGGCGAGAGAGACAAGAGAGGCGAGAGAGGCGAGAGAGACAAGACAGGCGAGAGAGGCGAGAGAGGCGAGAGAGACAAGAGAGGCGAGAGAGAGCAAGAGAGGCGAGAGAGACAAGAGAGGCGAGAGAGGCGAGAGAGAGCAAGAGAGACAAGAGAGACAAGAGAGGCGAGAGAGAGCAAGAGAAGCGAGAGAGGCGAGAGACAAGAGAGGCGAGAGAGACAAGAGAGGCGAGAGAGACAAGAGAAGCGAGAGAGGCGAGAGAGAGCAAGAGAGACAAGAGAGACAAGAGAGGCGAGAGAGAGCAAGAGAGGCGAGAGAGACAAGAGAGGCGAGAGAGACAAGAGAGGCGAGAGAGACAAGAGAGGCGAGAGAGGCGAGAGAGACAAGACAGGCGAGAGAGGCGAGAGAGGCGAGAGAGACAAGAGAGGCGAGAGAGAGCAAGAGAGGCGAGAGAGACAAGAGAGGCGAGAGAGGCGAGAGAGAGCAAGAGAGACAAGAGAGACAAGAGAGGCGAGAGAGAGCAAGAGAAGCGAGAGAGGCGAGAGACAAGAGAGGCGAGAGAGACAAGAGAGGCGAGAGAGACAAGAGAAGCGAGAGAGGCGAGAGAGAGCAAGAGAGACAAGAGAGACAAGAGAGGCGAGAGAGAGCAAGAGAGGCGAGAGAGACAAGAGAGGCGAGAGAGACAAGAGAGGCGAGAGAGACAAGAGAGGCGAGAGAGGCGAGAGAGACAAGACAGGCGAGAGAGGCGAGAGAGGCGAGAGAGACAAGAGAGGCGAGAGAGAGCAAGAGAGGCGAGAGAGACAAGAGAGGCGAGAGAGGCGAGAGAGAGCAAGAGAGACAAGAGAGACAAGAGAGGCGAGAGAGAGCAAGAGAAGCGAGAGAGGCGAGAGACAAGAGAGGCTAGAGAGACAAGAGAGGCGAGAGAGACAAGAGAAGCGAGAGAGGCGAGAGAGAGCAAGAGAGACAAGAGAGGCGAGAGAGAGCAAGAGAGGCGAGAGAGACAAGAGAGGCGAGAGAGACAAGAGAGGCGAGAGAGGCGAGAGAGGCGTGAGGCGAGAGAGACAAGAGAGCCGAGAGACAAGAGAGGCGAGAGAGACAAGAGAGGCGAGAGAGAGGAGAGAGAGCAAGAGAGGCGAGAGAGACAAGAGAGACAAGAGAGGCGAGAGAGAGGCGAGAGAGCGCCCCGAGAGCAGGCCCCTCGCATGCCCCGCCATGAACCATTTGCCCGACAACCCAGGCCAACATGCTGAACCGCCTGCAGCATTTCTTTTATACATATAATAATTCCGACAGCGCAGCATTACGCCATCAGCAGCCAGCGAACAATAAAAGGCACGTTGCAAGAGCTTCTCATTGTTGCAATATCATTACTGGCGATATTGGGAGTCAGAACAAAGGGAAGCGGGAACAAAGACGGCGCTATTCTTACGTGGCATATGGAATTAAGTGAGGGAAAAGAGACAGCGAACGGGAATTAGAGAGAGGGAGGAAGAGAGGGGAAGGGAGAGAGGGAGAGAGGGAGGAAGAAAGGGGAAGGGAGAGAGGGAGAGATGGGAAGAGAGAGGAAGATAAAGGGGGGGGGAGGAGAGAGAGAGAGAGAAACGAAGGGAAAAGAGACAGCGAACGGGAATTAGAGAGAGGGAGGAAGAGAGGGGAAGGGAGAGAGGGAGGGAGGGAGGGAGGGAGGAAGAGAGGGGAAGGGAGAGAGAGAGGAAGAGAGGAGAAGGGAGAGAGGGGAAGAGAGAGGAAGATAAAGGGGGAGAGAGAGAGAGGGAGAGAGAGAGGAAGAGAGAGAGAAACGAAGGGAAAAGAGACAGCGAACGGGAATTAGAGAGAGGGAGGAAAAGAGGAGAAGGGTTAGAGGGGAAGAGAGAGGAAGATAAAGGGTAGGCAAGAAGAGTACGAACGAGAATTAGAGAGGTTGATTAACATGAAGGAAGGAGATACAGGAAGAGGAGGGGGGGGAGGAAGACAGCGGGAGGGGGATGAGGGGAAGGAAGAAAGAAGTGTGAAGGAGAGAGAGAGAGAGAGAGATAGATAGATAGATAGATAGAGAGAGAGAGAGAGAGAGAGAGAGAGAGAGGGGGGCGGGATAGATATAGGAAGGAGGACAAAAGCAGAGGAAGAAACAAAGAGCAAGAGAGAAAATAAGGGAATGAAAATAAAATAGAGAGAGAGAGAGAGAGAGAGAGAGAGAGAGAGAGAGAGAGAGAGAGAGAGAGAGAGAGAGAGAGAGAGAGAGAGAGAGAGAGAGAGAGAGAGAGAGAGAGAGAGAGAAAGAATTAGGGAGAAGGGAGGGTTGAAATTTAGACAAAAAACAAAAAATAGACACATAGACGGAAAGATAGATAAGAAGAATGATAGAAAAAGAGAAGCTAAACTATGAAAGAAAAAAAAAATAGAATGAACGGGAAAAACAGACATAATATAAAAACAAGTTACAATTAGGCTTCACAATTTTTAAGGTTGCAACCTCTTTCTATCCATGCAATTGAAAAGAAAAGCGAATCATGAATAAACGAAGATCGCGTATGGTTTTATGGCCTTGCTTCAGAATTATTCCACATTTCTGTTTTCTCTGTCTGTCTTTCTATCTGTCTGTTTGTCTGTCTATTTGGTTTTGTTTTTGCATGTCAAGTTGCGTTGAATCGGGGAACTAGACTAGTTGTTGATAAAGGTTTCCTGCAACATTTACTATTCTTTTTCCAACGTATAGTCTTCTAATATGTTTTTTATGTGTGTATGTATATGCATATACACACATACACATACACAATTTTTTTTTGTGTATGTGTGTGTCTGTGTGTTTACGTGTGCGTGCGTGCGCGTGTGCATGTGCATACACACATGTGCACGAACATATGCATTTGCATGTGCATGCGCATTTGCATGTACACGTGCATTTACATGTGCAATTGTAGTTGCATGGGCGTGTGTGTTTATGTGTGTGCATGTATATATAAGGACACTTTTACCGTTTATCCGCCATCGTATTTTCTTATTCCGTTATCATCGGGCCGCAAAAGCCGGCAGGCAGAGTCGAGGCCCCATAACTCGGCGGGCGCGACTGCAAGCACGCGCCGGAATCGAGGGAATAACATTTAGGTGAAAAAGGCAAGACTCTACGTGTGGCAATACTCAC